GCCCCACCCCTCCGCAGGGGATCTAGCGCCAATAGACGGAGTGTGAACGAGAAGCCAGTTGTAACACCTATAAAGACTGTGAGGCGTGAACAAACACCGACCTCCGATGATGCAAGCCTGTAAGTTTTCGAAAAGTCAGAATATTATACCCACTATTCCCGAGAACACCTCTTCTTCTCATATATATTCAGCAGTTTCTGTTATTGTTTCTGCTTTCGTTTCTGATTAAGGATCCACGAGGGATTTTTAAACGTCAAGCAAATAAATATTTTGTCGCAATGATCACACCGTCTTCTCAATTAATTCCTGGGACATTCATGTTCGCTCGTATTGGCAAATTACAAAATTCTTCAAACAGATAAAAGCCTCACAATGAACATAACACCGACAATCTACACTATATTCCAAAAAGCCTTTTAAATTCCTGATCGCCCTATCTGATATATCCCATTTCATTCGCGAACTCTTCTGCGCCTATGCCATCAAACGATTCCTTCATTAACTAATGGATTCTTTTCTGCCCACCGAAAGTAATCAGGTTTCAGTTATTGAAGGATGTGGGGAAAATGCCAACCTGAAGTGCTTATGATTAACCATTACTTCAGTCACTGGGTGTATCCTATCAGCCAAATTTAGCAGGATAATTATGAACTTATGTTATTGCAGAGTTGCCAGTTGAGGAGGTTAAATGAAATAAAAATGAACGTGTAACCGATGCTCCACTTCCAGGCACGAACAATATTGTTAACCTAAACATTCGGCTTTTTCTGACTATGCAAACAATTAAAATGGCACACTGTGTATTCTAAACTCGCGCTCGGACATTTATGCAAAAGCGTATTTTGTTAACCTCCGGTACCATTTGCTGTTTTTAGATTTACACAATTTTTTTATTTATTTGACTGACTTTTTCCCCGGACAGCAAAACTAAATTCGTTAGCAAAGTCATTATACGTAAATTATTGACCTGAAGCTAAGCGAATATAGCGTTCACTGGTGAAGAATCATTGTTTAGGTTTAAAAACTGAAACTTGGTCTTCCTTAAAAAATTAAAGCATATGATCTGCATTTTACGCAGATTTAATGGTCCAGACAAAAGGGCAATTGAAGGAAAGAGTATTTTTTTATAACTATAATGTCCGCACTGCAAACATAAATATGCATACTATTACCTAAGATTTGCCTCAGCGTTTGCTGGGCTTTCAGGCATAACGGCTCTAAGGTCCCTTTTGGGATTTGCCGTGGTATCTGTTATGAGTTTGTTCTGACTTCTACTGTGAACTTTGCTTCCCAGTATTTAGGAAAATGATAACTTGCTTTCTTTTGTGCAGGTTATTAAGGCAATACTGACAACATTTTGCGTACTAATGAACGGAAACGGAGAACATTCAAAATAAGCGAAGTGAAGCAAACATAACCAACGTGAACTAAGAAACGCTGTGGGCAGCCAGCGAGTTCGCTAAGGTCGACTGCGTAAACGTGGGTCAAACATCGAACAAACGTTAAACAACGTGTATGTGAATGTCACTGTTATATACACGAATTGATAATTAAATAAACACAGTACTAAACTATCCAAATGCCCTTCAGAAGATTTGCGCACGAATATGTTTACCTCAAAAAGAAACCATGGAACTAAGAGATCGGTAAATGAAACCAGTATTTCTTCTAATCGTAAACCGCGCTAGCTGAAAACAGTAGCAGTAGTAGTACAAACACTTGAAATGCCTATGTTTTCATGGAAATATTAGAGATTTACTATATGAGGACGCAGTAGGTTGGTTGTTCCATATGAATTCTAAAACATTCAACAGAAAAAATGTTCACGGACACGTTGATTTGGTTCGGTACACTGTCAGACGTCACTTACGTAGCGACTTATACATTTATTATATAAAAAAATAATTATTTTGCTTTCACAAAAAAAGAAATGCTTCCAACAACTTTCGATAATCATTTGCATAATAGCCAAGCTAAGTAATCTGGACTGGCCTATACAAACAGGTTTCTGAAGTATCCTTAAATAATTAATTTTATACACTGTTGAACAACGAATTTGCCCGTCTTCGCAATTTAAAATAGTACCAAATAATACGAACTCCCGAGCATGCGTTTATGTGGGCAAATAGAAAGGTTAATGAGGATGCATCTTAGACATCATTTTCATAGTGTGAACGCCGGCAAAAATGCGACTTGCAGAAGATGTTTTAGATTAAAAAGATGCCGTTGTTGGGACAGGATCTATATTCAAAGGGAAGTTTTGGATTCACGCTCAAAGCCACCATAAGAGGCAACATGACACCCTCGTAAATGGCACATGGGGAGTTGCTGTATTTATGGGATACTATCGCTTTGCTATGCATCCTTACAGGAATTAAAGTATCCCTCCCCCATGATCAAATATTATTGATCTGTAGCGAGTTAATTACTCAATATGTGGCATGCAGGGGGCCAACTGCCGAATCGTAATCATCCGTGGTGTCCTATATTATCTGGTGATGGGTTCGAGCTCTAGTCCGAAAAGTTATGTAAATAAGGTTTAAGTGATTGCATATACTTGTTCTTGTCTCCTGGTAGTTTAATGCAAATTATAAGATAAGATATAAATTTCATGAAAAATTAAGAGTTTATATTTACCGAACATGATCTTTTGTTATTCTGTTTGAGCCAACCTTCAAAACACAAATCCTCATGTATAATGGGTTGAGTTAAATTTTATTTTTCCGTTAATATCCAAACAAAGACGTTTCACTTGTAGGAGGTAACATCGGTTAAAGAATTTTTTACTTAGGCCTGTTGTTATTTTCATGACAGCTATACGCACGTTCCCAGTACGATACAATTTTTTTATCAAGTATAAGCTATCCTTTTTGGAATCGAAGTGCTGTAGTGAGTTTATTTTGACAAAAGAAGGTTTTGTGAGATCGGCTTCCTTTTCGCAGTCTAGGTAAGCCGCCTAAATCAGCATCCGAGCCAACCCGCAGATTAGACAAAAAACTTTTAACTGGCTTCAATTAATTTTTTCTGGTTCGAAATTTTTTTCTGTGTCCAGCCTCTCGGTATGCGTTTACTTAATCGGAAATACCATTTTGATAAGCAGATGGACGTATTTTTGTACCAGTTACGTGCAGTTTGAAAAAAATGGCGTTATTTGTTTTGATAAAAAATTCTTCACCTTCAACTGTTGAATTTCGATTGTATATGTTGAACGTATTTTAGACACACACTCAACTCTTCAGAAAGTTTATGATTCTTAGTATTTCGATAATATGTTGTTTTGTTGTCCACCGGCTTTGTTTTCCACTGAAGCTGATCGAAACTAGTAGCAATCACGATCGCTAGCGTTAAGTGTAACCAAATTTGTGTGATCTGACTTAAGTAAATGCGGCAGTTCATTCCGGAGTGCAAACTTTGTGAATTAATGGAGGGCATTCCTCGGGTAGCTCACTGAATGTCTACCTTAAGCCATTTAAGGCTCTATGTTCACTGGTTAAGATCCTATTCAAATAGTCAAATTCCCTCGAGCAAAAGTAGACAATGTGTGCTATTCGCAAAAATTAAATTTCCTTTACTTCACCAACGGACTGTCGGTCCGGAGTCAGTCCGGGTCATCCCGTGCGGGCGCTAATTGCGGTTCATCCTGGTCGAGAGTTATCGGCCGTAGTCTCTTCCACCCTTATTTGAGATGTTTGTACATTCCAGCCAACTCTATACGCCGGTTGATGCGTGAGTCATCGGACTGTATGGCCTCAAGAAAATATCTGCCTTTTTTCAGAAGGGCACACTCCGACGAAGCACGTTTAGCCCATGCAAAAGTGTGTCCTGTGTCAAGGCAATACATAGCCACTTCGGATAAATGGTCACATCTCTTCGCTGGCAATTGCTGCTTGTGGATGCGTGTGGAGACAGATTTTCCCGCTTGGCCGCAATATGCCGTATCACAAGCTTTGCATGGGATTTTGTAGATGACTTCTTTCCTATCGAGGTAACCAACTCTATCCCTAGGGTGCGTAAAGTAGTCATTGGTTTGTGCGCCACTTTTATATAATGTTTCCGCAAGTTCCGTTCAACGTGTTCAGACATGTTCCTTGAGTTTGTCTGTGTGGAGCCCATGCTATTCAAAGACGATCAATCATAGTCAAGGCAGTCCTTTCTTTCCCCGTCTGTTAATTAAATGTTGAGGTGCTTAGCTTGGCAAAACAATCCACGACAGCGTCCATGCCATCGATAAACTATCACAGCCAGGTGACCTCACGTGATATTATATCCAAAATTTATTTTTGTTTACTCAATTAGAGAAGCTCGATTAGGCACAACCCACTTGTCCGTAAACCCTTAAAAACAGACGCATATTCCCTTTGGAGTTACCGCGGAACTGCATTAGCCGACCTTCAAAAAGAAAGCCTATGAGCGCGGCCCCATGGCCGTCTTTAAATATGGACGGAAATGCAAGAATAAAAACGTCAAGATGAACTTATCGCAAATGATAAACAGCACTATTGAGGAGTTAACGTACATGCTTTTTTAACCGGTCATGCAAAATCAAATACACAATGCTGCAACGGAGTGAATTAAAAAAATTCAGGTCTTGCTGTTTTTGCCTAAGGACAGCATAGCGAATCGTCCGAAGATAGATGATAAAATTGACATCCATTTCTAGCCGACTCTTAAAATACCATGACATTTTGACAAATTAAATAAGACCGAAAACACTCAATTTGTTGAGTCGTTGCATGCTTCGTCAACTCCCTATTCTGTGGACAATATATTTAGTTAAAAACAGTCAATAAGAAAGAACAACATTGCATTAAGCAGTTGTATGGCATAATTTAGCGAAAATCTTATCCTCCTACTGATGTTCGTAAGTTTGTCGAAAATCCGACCATGTGTTGTAGTTATACGTGAAATGACGTGTAAGAGCATTCCGTGAAAACAACCGGTTTATAATTCGCCTTGTTAGCGGTTCGAAGTTTGTTCCGCCTTGCCTAATCCATAGTTTATCACACAGAGTCAAATCGCATACAGAAGACTATGCTACGTATCACATTTCGTTGACGGAAAGAATACGACGAATTGGCAAACTCACGTTCATTTGCATCGTAAACGGTGATGGTGGCTTTGGCTGAATCCATGCCGAAGTGGTTATGCACTTGACAGGTGATAACGTCCCCATCGTTGATCATTTGCACCTTCATACGCAGAGTGAGCGCGTTTGGCCCAACGGGACGCACGACTAAGCCCTGCACCTCCGAGGACTCGCCGATTTCAATACCGTTGCGTTGAAAGGCCACTTTCGGGTCTGGATTACCGGAAGCTTTGCAGAAGAGAACTATATCCTCACCACATATCGTCTTTGTATCTTGTGGGCCCTCGAGAATCCTTGCTGGTTCTATAAAAAGTAAGCATCGACGGGTACGCATAAGGTTTTGACACGCAGAGAAAACCAACTTTGTACAAAATGTATCGTTAAAGATGTAATTTATAATAAATATATATTCACACTTTTCTGAAATTCTCATGCAAAGCCGTTTACCTTATTTTATGCAGTCACTTTTTAATGTTCTTAACCCAAACAGATAAAGCTATTTCAAAAATTATTTTAAATTTCGCAATTTGCTCTTCACTGCTTTTAACGTGTTATTTAAAGTCATACCAGCATATCACTCTAAAATACCTGAATTAGTATTAGTACTTCGCTTTAGTTTTGCTTTTTAAAATGAGAAGCATTACTTAGATCACCGGAAACCCGTTCTGCTTGAGAAAGTCTTATTGAATGGTATTAAACAAACCGGAACAAGATGTGCGGTAAACTAAAAACCGCATCTGTGTTTATTCCATTTGAATGGCCATTATTCATTGATTTATACTGAACTATTTCTCCAGACAGACGATGGATAGAACAGATTAGCATTTTCATTCTCACTTGACTCATATGACACACGCGCACGGAAAACACTGACATCTAGGTTTCTACAAGCCTACGTGTATGATTTTGAAAAAAACACGCATTTTATTGCATGGGCTACATTTCTCCTTGGTGTGTGCTAACACTTCTCGCCAAAAATGTATTAACTTACACATTCTTCCTTACAATAAAATAAAAGTTATAAAATATAAGTTAAATTGGACCATTTGCAGGATTTTATTTAGAAGCTCTTGATGTTCATGCACAATTTCCTTTTCCTTTTAGCGTGCAACAAGGCTTTACTGTAGCATGACCAAAACATATGCGTAAACGGTCACATTCAATCGCGAAGCATATGCCTGAGAAAAAGAGTAAGAATCTGATATCGTAAAGTAAAAATACAGGACAGCTTACTACGAAAGACAAAATTAACAGATTTCTGTCAGTTCGCAGTGACTGCCAGCTGATAAATCTATCTTTATTGAAAAGCCGAGTTCTATATCACGCAATTGTTGCGATGCGAAAAATGATACTTATTTTCCCTTATGGTTACCAGATCGCTGGCACATCCATCCGGAATTTTTAAAACTTCCTACATCCTATATATTTATGTTGGTTCGGACTGCGCTTTCACCTGTCGCTTTAAATGACATGCGAGTCTCCTTTCGCTTTTGGGTTGAATGTACAGCAATTGTAAATAGCTGCATAGGGAGAGTGTAAGAGATGCGGCAAGAGCAGATGAGACTTGAACGACGTCTTTTGGCTTATAATACCTCGTCAGGTATCAATCACCACCATCGAACCTTGTGGTCCCAGGCTACGCAACCATGCAAAGTTCTTCCTACTGGCTGCCCATGACCGACCGTCGAGAATCGTGGTGGGGCCCCGTGTTTCATCACCTGGCAGACTCAGTTACCAGCAAGGGTGTAAGATGGGCGCACTTCCGACAATCGGTGTTGATCTTGTGACCTTTGCGATGGTCTCTTCATGTGCTCCTTAGAATATTGGTAAAAACCGTGATGGGCTCCTTCTGACATGCTTCAAACACTTTTAGCAGCAGGCCACCCGACTTGCAAATACTCTATCCCGCCCCCCACGGGCAACAGTTTTTCTCCTTAAAATCCAGCATGCAAACCACTAGAATACTGAACAATGCTTAAAGATTTTTTTACTTTCTGCTCTTTTAACGCAGTTCCATTACTGGCAGCGCGACATGTTCTGCATCATAGCTGCTCTGTACCAACAAGGTGTTCAAAAGTATTTACTTATATTTCTTTAGTAAATCTGACCTGACCCAAGCACCGGTTTTGTGTTTTTGGGCCACGATCAAAGGTTTTGGATCAACGAGCTCTATTGCCACCAACAACGGGTAATTTATCCCGGTAGTATTGTTCCAGACATTACGACCAAAGACAGTACATTTTGTGGGAAGTCTGTTCAGCGATCATGTACGTAAAATATTCACCCAGGTGTGACATAGGACTAAATATTAAATCATGCATATCCAAAGCCTTTAAAAGTTCCGTATCCAAAACCTTGTCCACTCTCTAGGCAAAAACATTATGTGTGTCGCCCATGGCAAGCCGTAAGTTATGACGTTGGTTTGTTTAGAACCAAATACTTCAATAGGTCAGTGTGAGAGACAGAACATAGTATACGGACCTCGACTCCAACGATTTGTGCCTTCACAATTAACCTGCAACCATAATAGGAGTCAAATAAACGTGATCTAGAACGCTGCCTCATCAGAATGTGATTAGTGACTGCATCAAGCATAATTGACGGTTATTATGTGGTCCTCTGACAGGATATGCAAATGTTAATGGCTTTTAATGAAGGACAGCTTGCATATAATTCAAGGAAAATTAGCGTTGGGTTACGGTAAATGCTCGAGTTAGTTATACAGGTAAAACACGACGATTGAGTTAAACGCCAGGAAATTCCCATTCCCTTGTCTTATTTGGGCCTGATAAGTAGTTCTAAATGCAAATAGTCCCAGGCTGTTATGGGACTGCGCTTCATTTGGCAGATCATTATCAGGGGAGCTGAGAAGCAACAAGGTGACAGTCCATAAATAAGCACCTTGCCTAACGAGTCTTTGTTTTTTTCCATAAGAAAGATCTTCCTGGGACTCGCATGCTCACTTGTATTGGCGATCTTCCAATGTTATACCGGTGCCTTTTATTGCTGGCAAGATATCAACAAAATCTGATGACTGTTACGTAACGTACCAATTAAACCTTACTTTCCACACATTTTTACAAGTTTTTCTTATTTAGCGGAAGACAGTGCCCGATACCAATCCAGTCAGGTGTTAATTTTTGTCAAGTTCGAACGGAAATAATGACCTTGGCCAGAACATGCCTACCACTTAGCTTGACCGTTCATTATTATATGTAGCCAAATGCTCATAAACCATTCTGATCGATAAATTTGACTAAATTTGTTGTGTGCTATTTAAGCCAAATGTAACACATGTGCGTTGTGGAAGTTTGAATTAGGTTTTGGCAGCCTATCATGGGGGTGAGTGAACTGTTACGTGTTTCCAAGGTACTTCCTAAAGATTCGCTCTTTAGCGAATACTTTTTTCTTTTTTTCCTGCGGAAGATAATTCGGTCCAGCCGAATACCCTCAAGAAAACACTGATCGTGCAATGGTAAGGGATCCCTAAATATAGCATTTTTTCAGCTGGTACTAAAGGAACGACCAGCTACCTACACTGCTACGAGCCTACTTTTCTGATAACATTAGGGTGGCTGATACGCTGTAAGTAGTAAAATATTCGAATTTTGATGCACTGTATGCTAATATTGCATTGAAACAAGTAACCGCCATACAGCATTTAACGCTGATACGTTGACACAGTTCTGTAAATTACCTGTTTAAGCAAGTACAGGATGCTCATAAATAAACAAGGATTTATCGAACGCTCTACTGCATCAGATGGATGCACGAATTTCACGATTAATCTTCGTTTTCGTTTTGCTCTAAGGTTTATATGAGATAAAGGATGCGAATAGCCGAAAGACTTGTTATAGTCATTTTCCATTTTAATTCAGATTATCTACGGAATTTAACCGAAACTGTTTGTCATCCAGTTCAAGGGCTTATACATTCAGAAGAAGAGGATACGATGACTGGAACAAGAGTTTTATTTTCCTGAAGTTTCGGATTCCGTCGGGAATCCTTAATTATATGTGATGGGAGTATAGTCATAATCATGCTCAGATTATACATTTTCCCATATGCGTAAGTGAAAGTCGACACAAAGACTACTAGCCCATATGCCTGCTATAGCCTTGAACTGGCAAGGTTGGATTTTTATGAGTAAACGTTGGAGGTTTTGAATACAATCCCTCCGACAAATTTCATGCGCCAACTACCGACAGTTCGGGTTTGTGTTCGAGACATGTGCAATTTACATAACGCTCCCTACGAACTCTTTAAAAATTCTGTATCGTAATGATTTTTTAGGCTTACCTCGATGTATGTTTTATTAGAAGTTCTTTCCCAAAACTGATGCAATGTTGAATTATGCCAATATTCATCAAAAACACATGCCCTTAGATATGGTATATCGAACACATTTTGATAAACAGTGTAATCACTTTACTAGTATAATTAAATAATTTGTTACTAGATGGATACACTCACAATATTTGAATACGCTAAATGCACTACTTCTGAATAATAAAGGCGGAAAGTGAACCTTTCTTCGTTGCTAAAGCTGAAGGTATACCCTGGAATGCAAGTCAATTTACTACAAAAAGTGCATCCCCAACATATATAGTTGGGCAGTCTCCTTTTTAAAACGATTGCAACAGTGTGCATAGCTGTTGTTTTTATAGTACAGTAGTCGCCAGCTATTAAACCCATGGTTAATAATATCGCCGCTTAATTAAGCCCAATTTGGTCTGGGCCCGAGGTGGACTTAATAACCGGCGACGCTTCATTAAGCACACGGTTAATAAGCCCACCGCTTATTAAGCCCAATTTGGTCTGGGCCCCAGGCGGGCTTAATAGCCAGCGACTACTGTATGTATAAAATTCCACGCAACCAATGGCATTCTATGAGTGGGAGAGCCCACAGATATAAATGTGCTTTTAAGACGAATTTGCCCTCAGATTTGGTAGCTTACAGTTCCGTAAACATATGATCACTTTATTGGTATCAGCGTTTCTGTCCACTTCCAACTGCATATATTGCTGTGCATTCAAAAAGTCGTAGGTATGAAAGCAGGAGTTTGTTTCAGAAAGCAAAAGAACTATTTTGCTAGCAGACAGTCCAATTTAAATTATTTCCCCCATGAATATAAGCTCAAGTTGTGGTCCGTGACGCCTGTTCCAGTAAGTTCATTCGAATAATTGTTTCTTCATAGCAATTCGTTAGCATGACCATACCACTGATAAGCCGAACGTCTTCATTTTTCTTTGCACACAATCAGTCAGATGTCTCGGTCTCTATATATTAAGCAGCTTGAGTTCACGTATCTATGCGTTCAGACATTTGATATA